ACCCCCCTCCGCTGTCCCGAGGACTCCTCCCGAACCGGGGGTAATAAATCACCCCCGGTCATGATCCCTCTTAGCAGCGGCGCGGTGCGACCCATCACCGCGCCGCCTCCCTCCCGGGCCGCTATGATAGGAGGGTGCGGGAGCGGTGCACTTGGACATGGTGCATTTGGACACAGCCAATCACAGCACCGTGTGATTAGAGACATTTGTAGGGTCCCTTGGAACAGCGACTTGTGATTGGACTGTGTCCAATTGCCCCGTGTCCAACTGATATACACCAGGAGGGTGCACCCCCGCATACCCCCCAAGCGACCCGTAGAGGAGAGGGAGCCGGAACAGGGCGTAATCACCCCGAGGACGAGCCGCCCCGAGACGAGAAGCCCATGAAAGGGCCCCGCCAGGGAGCGACCCGGTCCCGGCTCCCCCCATCGCCGGCCGCAGTGTGCAGCCGGCGCCGTGGCCACGGTCTAGATGGTCAGACCGGGGCCCTCTCCGCCGGCCGGACCCCGGGACGAAAATTCTCGGGGTCCGCCAGCACACCTCTCGCGGGTCCGGCTACATTAAGAGGCCAGCCCCTCCGGTGCCCCGTCGGCCTCCCGCCCGGCGGAGCACTACCAATCCTTCCCAACGGGCACTCGGGGCCACCCGCCCGGTGGCCCGAGTCCCTACCATCCTCGAAGTATACCGCGCAGGCCGCACTCGCTGTGCAGGCGCGATGTGCCCGGCCCGGCCACACCGGTAACAAAGCCCACTCCGGTCTATCGACGCGATGCAGGCCGCCCGGATGTGGCCGAGCCTCCAGCACTTGTGGCACTGGAGCGGGCGGGCAGCGAGCATTTCTACCCGCGCACCCGCCCACCCCAGCGCCACCCAACCCTCCCGGATCACAACGACGGCGGCATCAAAAGGGAGCCGCCGCTAAACGACGCCGCCCCCCCCATCCCCGCCGGATGAGGCTCACCCGGACCTCTGCCGGCCCGCATTTACCGCGAGGATTTTGGCAATCTCTTCGGGGAGAACCGACTCGTCAACACCGACGAGCCAGACCTCCCCCCACCTTCTCGGTCTCATAACCGAGGCTTCGGGGAGGCTGATCCTATCGGCCAGGACGTCATCTCCCCTATCCCTTCTCTCCCTGTCGGGGCCGGCCAGCCCCAGGAGGAGGTCGCCATTTGCGGCCCTCCTCACGAATACCGGCCGAACCCCGACATCCCCAAGAGGAAGCTCTCGAACCCGGCGAAGAGCCTCCGCATACGTGAGGCCCCCCACCCTGTCCCAGGCGGACCGACACCGCCGCCGCCGTCGTCGGTGGCGTCGGCAGCACCCTAGGCGTCATCGGATGCCCCGAGTCCTGTACTCTCCCTTCGCCTCTCCCGGGGCCCTCCTTCCTCTTCTTGCTGCTGCCCGCCCCACGCGCCGCGTTCCAACAACGGCCAGCCAACGGAGCCGCGGCCGGCGCAACGGGCACGACAGGCCCCGCCCCCCGCCACCGGAACCCCGGCAGACCGCGTCCGCAGCGGGGACGTCGCCCAGTCGCACATGTACGGCCTCATCTCTGGGAAGGGGGACACAGCCCGGTCTACCCTTTCCTTCCCTACATCCTTTAACTCCTGTATCCTATCCTCCATCCTTGTCCTCTCCTTCATCCAGTCTGTCCTTTCCTTTTCCCACTCGCTCTTCTTAATATCCCAACCTCTTTCCTTATTCCTCCATTCCTTCAACATTACCTCCCTAGCTTCTCCTCCCTCTTCCCATTCTCTTTTATCAGCTCATCTCTTTCCCGCACCCATCCTTCCCTTTCCCGTACCCATCCTTCCAGACACTCGGTTCTTTTCTTGAAGACCTTGGCTATGTCTTCACAGAACCGAACCATTTCGTTTTTAGTTTCATTAATTTCCTTCTTTTCTCTTTTGCTCATCTTTTTACTCTTAGTTGTTACTTCCTCGATGTACCCCCCGCACTCCCTCAGCCAGTCGAGTCGCGTGAGCAAGAAGTCCTGATTCTTTTCCCTGCTCTTAGGGTCAGGCCATCCCGAGCTTCTTCCTCCATCCCTTCCCCGATCTTGTCCTCATCCTTATCCAGTGCCTTTCTCTTCCCCCCTCACACACAAAAATTGTATAGGTCATTTTTCAAACAACCACGTGAAATTTCGAGATATTAATTAAAATAGTTGGACAAATTAGAACGCGCGACGCGACGGGACATATGGTTCGCAGCGGTTGGCGAAGAAAATGAAAGGACGCACACGTACACAGACGCACACACGGAGCTACTCATTTCAATATGCCAAACGGCCTACCTTTCTGGCCTACAAGGCCCGCGAGCAATCATCCATTTTCTTCGCCGGCCGCGGCGAGCCATATGTCCCACCTGCCGTGTCGCCGCGCTCTGATATGCTCAACTATTTTAATTAATATTTCGAAATTTTACGTGGTTGTTTGAAAAATGTCATATAATTTTTGTTCACTTTTATGTGTTCTACTTATATTTTTCTTTTGGTCCGTCTTACGCGGGACATCCTATATATATATATATATATATATATATATATACAGGGTGTTCAAAAAGTCCCGGGCCGGTGAAATATCTCGAAAACTAAGCATTTTAGAAAAAAATGTTTCAGATAAAAGTTGTAGGGTTTCAAAAGATCTATTTACTGATTTTATCAGTTTGACCTTGGATGACGTCGCCAAGGTCAGATCGAAATCACATTAACTTTTTTAAATGGAACTGCCTACTTTTTATTGCATATTCTTGTAGCTTATCTCGAGACCTTTCCAAAACACTATAAACAAATGTATTTTCGTTAAGTATCTTCCGAGTTATGAGGCTTGAAAGTTTCATCAGATCCAACCAGTGAAGGCAAGATCAGAACAAGATCCAACCAGTGAAGGCAAGATCAGAACAAGATCCAACCAGTGAAGGCTGTGTGTGTGCGTGTGTGTGCAAATGTGTTCACAGGAGAGATAGGGACCCCGTGGTTCGTCATTTCCACAGTAGTTAACGACTCCAAACCCTCTCTGCTGTGTGTGTGCGTGTGTGCGCTGGTTGGATCTTCTGGTTGGATCCCAGCCGGTTAGGGCAAGGTTGGGTGATGCCCGGCCAGTGAAGGCAAGGCTGATGAGCATCCCAGCCGTTTATGGGATGGAAGGGTAAAGCCAGGCAATTGCAGCAGGATTGGAAGTTATTTATTTGAGCAAATGCTCAAAGTTTTCGCCCCCAGCTGTCTGGCAATACGCTATGCGGTTGTAAAATGCTGCTACAGCTTGGCGAATCATGTCTGCATCAATGGCAATAATTTCATCTCTTATTCTCTGTTGAAGTTCTTCGAGGTTTGCTGGTTTCGTTCGATATACCCTATCTTTGAGATAACCCCACAAAAAATAATCAAGTGGTGTAAGATCAGGGGATCTGGCTGGCCATTCTATAGCTCCTCTTCTCCCTATCCACCTCGCTGGAAATACTGTGTTTAAGTAGGCACGAACATCTCGGCCATAATGAGGAGCTGCACCATCTTGCTGAAACCACGTCTGATGAAAATCATCGCCCACAATTGCCTGAATCGCCGGTATGATTGTATTTCGCAACATCTCTTCGTACTTCACCGCAGTAAGATTTCCGTCAATGAAGAAGGGCCCAACTATTCTGTTATTAATAATCCCGGCCCAGACATTCAATTTTTCAGGATATTGAGTATTGCGAGTATCAGACATCCATCTTGGGTTGTTATCGCTCCAGAACCTAAAATTATGCCTATTGACATTGCCATTAAGTTCAAACGTAGCTTCGTCTGAAAATAAAATTCTATTCAATAAATTTCCATCAGCATCTATTTGGGCCATCATCAATTCACAAAACTGAAGGCGTCTATCAGAATCATCTTCAAGCAGTTCATGTACAAGTTTAATTTTGTATGGATGGAACCTTAAATTTTTTGTCAAAATATTATGTGTAGATCCAACACTAATATCATGTTGCTGTTTTAATTTCCTAACCGTACTGTGACGATCTTCAATAACTGAGAGAGCAACATCCAGCTGTTTTTCTGGATTAGTTGCTGCAACAGGGCGACCCGATCTAGGAAGATCCTTTACACTTCCACTCAAATTGAAACGTGCAATTGTCCTTTGTACAGTCGACTTGGATATCTGTTCAGCTCCTACCCTAAAAGTATCGTTGAATAAAATCTGTACATCTTCATTAGATCTCGTCATATTTCCATAGCCTTTCATCATAAGAATAAGTATTCGCTCACGTTCAATGAGAGGAGCCATGTTATCTTAAGGTGTAGGAAAAATCCAAGACGTTCAAAAAATGAAAAGAAAAACAACATGAACAG